CAGAATGCTTGAACCCAGGGAAGGTGGAGGTTGTAGTGAGGCCGAGAATCACACCACATAGCAACTCAGCCAGGAAACAGAGAGTGATTCAGCCCAAAAAAAAAAAGAAAAAGTGTGAGTTGTGTGTGTGTGTATATATATATTTTTATTTATTATTTGAAGACACAGTTTCACTCTGTTGCCACAGGCCTGGAGTGTAGTGGTGCATTCTCAGCCACTACAACCTCTGCCTACCTGGATTCAATGAATACTCCATGCTCATGCTCTCCGGAGTAAGCTGGGACTGCAGCGCCCGCCACCACACCAGCTTAATTTTGGTTAATTTTTAGTAGAGATGTGTTTTCCACCATGTGCACCAGCTGTCTTGAAACTCCTGGCCCTCAGGTGTCTGCCCGCCTCAGCTTCCCAAATGCTGAGATTTACAAGGGTGGATGCCCCACACCCCTGTCTGGCTTAAATTTTTTTTTTTTTTTTGAGATGAAGTCTCAGCGCCTCCACCCAGGCTGTAGTGCAGTAAGACATGATCTCCGCCACTGTAGCCTCTGCCTGGCCTCCCAAAGTGCTGGGATTACAGGCTTGAGCCACCGCGCCCGGCCCCTAAAATCTTTTAATTGAGGTACAACATACATAAAAATGCACCAATGATAAATATGCAGGGTGAGGGATGCCTGACCTGAACCAGCCACATAAGTAGCACCAGACCAACAGACAAAGCGTTCCCACCTGGAACGGCCCCCGTGAGTCGCTGCCGACCCATCTGGCCCATGACGTGAATGGTGTCGCAGCTACTCTCTCTGGCTGAGGTGCACCCATGCCGGTGGCTGCAATCCTCTGCCTCAGACTGTGGTGTCCACGGTGTGAACAGACCACGTGGCATCTGGTGGCTTCAGACTCCCTATCAACAACTGTTGCTGGGAGATTCTTGTACCATCTGACGGACACAGGCGCATCTGCGGAGTGCACCCGGGAGACACGGGCAGGGACGTATCTTCAGCTTTGGGAGACCTGTTTCTGGTAGCACACGCAGCCCCAGGCTGCTCAGAGGGGACAGCGCGCTCTGCCCACACCGCCACAGGACCTGGTGCCTGGCCGTAGCCACATGGCCTCGGCCTCAGTCCAGCCTTTTGCCTCCCATGCCCTTTGCCCCTCACGCTGTGCTTCTAGCCTAAACACAGGGCAGAGATGGGTCCCAGGGTGTGCGGAGGCCGAGCCTGCCTGGGGAAGGAAGGCAGCTCCATTGGTGTGAGGACCCCAGGAGGCCCCCAACGTCCACAGCACCTCACAGACCCAGACCCCGCTCACCGCTGGCCATGAGCCGGTGAGCAGCCCCTGCCCCTGGTGTGAGGGCCCCAGGAGGCCCCCAACGTCCACAGCACCTCACAGACCCAGACCCCACTCACTGCTGGCCATGAGCCGGTGAGCAGCCTCTGCCCCAGAGCACTGTGACCTCACATTTCAAGGACGTTCGTGTTTGCAGCTCCATAATGAGGCCTTTGAGACAGACGGCGGTTAACCCCAGCCTCCGCGCCACCACCCAACCCGGGACTTGAAAGGTCATGAGAATTGGGCAGCCTTTTTCCTGCCAAGAGGCAGCTGGAGGGCATCGGAAGTGGGGTGACCCTGCCACAGGACTCCCACTGTGGGTTCTCACTGGATGTGCCTGTTGGGGGCTTTGTGGGAAGATGAGGCACAGCTGAGCTGGAAAAAGTCAACTTTTTGATGCGTTATGGTCATGGGGGAGATAAATTAGCCTCGGGATGATCTGTGATTAGATGAAATCCCACAGCTAATCCCATCTCAATTTTGATCTCTTAGTGCCCCTGGAAACATTGCGTGTTGAACGGCCGGAAGACGCTTGGGGCCGGCCCATCCGCTCACCAGGGTCCCCCCACGGGCAGAGGCACTGTTCCTCCGTTCCTGTAGAGCACTTTCCTCCAGCTCATGGCCAGAGGTGAGCGGGGTCCGGGTCTGTGAGGTGTTGTGGACGTTGGGGGCCTTCTGGGGCCCTCACACCAACGGAGCCGTCTTCCTTCTCCAGCTTTGGGAGACCTCTTCAAATTGGCAGACCTGAGGCAGAGCACTTCTGGACCAGCGCCCCGCGAGGAGAACGCAGACAGACGCTTTCCTGCGTTTATTCAGTGTCTGGCATCCAGGGCCTGCAACACACACACGCGCACACACACAGGCACGTACACATACACACACAAGCACGTACACATACACACACAGGCACGTACACACACACACAAGCACACACAGGCAACACACACGCGCAGGCATGTACACATACATACAAAGGCACGCACGCAGGCATGTACACATACACACAAGCACGCACATAGGCACGTACACACACACACAAGCACACACAGGCACGCACACACACGCGCAGGCATGTACACATACATACAAAGGCACGCACGCAGGCACGTACACATACACACACAGGCACGCACACAAGCGCGCAGACACATCTGCTCAATGTGTGCCCAAGGGCTGCGGGGGGAAGCATCTCTGTGGCCCAGGGAGTGGCCTGTCCAGCTGCGGCCACGGACATGGAGGCGGAGGTCACTGCCGGACCAATGGTCCCACCGTGGTGGGCTCCAGTACAGCTTCCCCAGGACAGCCGGACCCACAGCCCGTCTCAGCCCTTGGTTTAGGGGCCGTTTCCTTTGACCTTGGGGGTGGGGGTGTGGGAGGTGGCAAGCAGGGTTTCTCGTGGGCCTGCCCGTGGTAGCTGTGTTGAAGACTCTGGGGGGTTCTGGCTCAGTGGAAAAGGGCCCAGCTGGGGAGTCACTTGTGCCTCAGCCTCTCGCTGGGCTGAGCAGGGCCAAGGGAGGAAGCAGGATCCAGCATTCCTCCCCACACGCATGGCAGAGGCTACGTCTTCAGTCTTTCAGATCTCACGGTCACTGGAACTAGGCTCAGCTGCAGGTCGTGACAGAAACCCCAGCACCACGGCCAAGGCGTCAGTGATCCAGCCGTCTCTCAGGACAGCAGGCCTGGGCTCAGCCTCTGCTGCACCGTCCCTGGAACACCAGCTGTTCTTTGACTCCCAACCGTAGGGAGCCTGCTGCAGCTCCAAACGTCACATCCCCATCTGGGGGGACTCAAGGCATCTGGAATGGAAAAGGCAGGGGGCCCAGCTCTCCTTGCGTGGCTGTCACTTTCAGAGAAAAGACTGAAGACTCTAGCAGACCCCACGTCTCGATGGGAGAAGCTCACTACAGGCCACCCTGGCTGCGGAGGGTGGGGACCTAGGGCAGACTGGGGTTGTCCCGACCATCTTCCCTAGAGCTGAGTGCAGATCCCACAACAAATCTAGTTATGTTGGCACAGAAAAAAGGGTAGGTGGGACACCAGGAAGACCAGTCTGTGCTCCCCACAGGCTCCTGCTGACCACAAACATCACCCACTCACTACAGAGAGGAACGAGGCCACAGCATCAACTCCCCGCGCCCATGACCTCTTCCTGCAGAGCCGGGGGCTGTCACAGCTGGGACCTCAGTGCACCACTCCCAGAAACGGCCAGCACAGGGCCAGAGCGGCACCCTCAGGCCCGCGTCTGAGATGGGCACACATGGCTCAGCCCTCAGGCCGACTCTTGTCATGGACAGTGGGCCCTCGTCGTTCTGGGGAGGGTCCTGCACCCTAAGCTCCGGCCCAGGAAATGCTGAGCAGTCAGGAGACACCAGGAACTGCCAAAAGGATGAACTCACAGGCCTCGGCAAGCCCCAAGTTAGAGGATTATACAGTGATGGGGCTTTCTGGGAGGTGGGTCCGGCTGGGGCTGGAACTTGTTTCCTGCCCCACTGGCCGCCCTAGAGCCTTGGGCAGCCCCTCCTGTCTGCTGCCCCCTAAGGGTAAAAGATCGGGGTGGTGAAGGGTGCCAGGGGACAGGACCCCTCCTGCAGCTGTAACACCTCGGTGTTCTCGATCCTTCCAGAACCACGCTGGCTTCTGATTCTGTCTGGCTGCAGCCTCCGCCCCTCCTGCAGCTGCAGCACCGTAGGACTATGGGATGCACCGGTTCTGTGCACTCTCAGTCAGCTGTGCTAGGACTGGCTCCAGCTAAGCCCTCCCCCCAGACTGGGGTCTTGGTCTGAGTGGTCCATTCACCCCAGACTGTCCCCTGATCTTTGCCACATGGGCCCTCAGAGCTGCCCTGGGCACTTTTCTTTGCAAAACATGCTTCTGGGGTTTCACCTTCAATTCTGGGCACTGCCCTCAACTTCTCTAATAAAATTATTTTGGCCGGGTGCAGTGGCTCGCGGATGTAATCCCAGCACTTTGGGAGGCCGGGGCGGGTGGATCACGAGGTCAAGAGATTGAGACCGTCCTGGCCAACACGGTGAAACCCCGTCTCTACTAAAAATACAAAAATTAGCCGGGCGAGGTGGCGGGCGCCTGTAGTCCCAGCTACTTGGGAGGCTGACGCAGGAGAATGGCGTAAACCCAGGAGGCGGAGGTTGCAGTGAGCTGAGATCGCGCCACTGCACTCCAGCCTGGCGACAGAGTGAGACTCCGTCTCAAAAAAAAAAAAAAAGAAAAAGAAAAAAGAAAACTATTTTGTAAGATTCAACAGATGGTGGCCTCCAGCCATAGGACCCAACATGGCCGCCCCACCTGCTGGAGGAACAAGACTGAAGGCCACACAGACGCCTCCGCTCCAGTCCCAACACGAAACCCTCTACCAACAAGGAAGGCAGCTCTGTCAACGACTCCTGAGCAAGTTCAAGGAGGACGTGCACCCAGGGCGTGGGGCTCCTTCTCCGCCTGTACCCGGATTCTGGGAGCACAGGAAGCACGTGGTCTGGGCCCCACCTCACCCACAGGCCACTGGGAGGAGACTGGACTGAGTGTGATTCGAATCCCAGGGAGGGACAGGACGGCGCTCAGTGCCCGGGAAAGACGAACATGCGGACAGCAGAGCGTGACCCATTTACATTTATAGGAGAAACAGCGACCAGGTCAGCCATACAGTCGGCATCTCGCCCATTTACATTTATAGGAGAAACAGCGACCAGGTCAGCCATACAGTCGGCGTCTCTACTTCAGGGAACTGACCAATTCTGACCAGCACAGAAATCAGCAACATCATTACGGCTTTCAGGCACCTCTGCGGACGCTCAGTCCCACTCCCCCTCCCCGTCCGCGTCGTCCTCGTGCGGTGCCTCTAGGTCGTTGAGGTGGAAGTTGGCCATCATGTCGCGCACAGCCAGCATCAGCCTGTTCAGGCCCTGGTTGCGGTTCAGACCCCCAGCCACTCCTTCCTCGGGCCTCTCCCCCTGCAGCAATGGGACATGTCTGAACAGGGGAATATCTGTGCTGGGACTAGGGGCCCAGGGCCCAAGCAGGAAGGCATTGTGGAGCCTAGCACCGGGCCCTGAACCCTCCCCAGGTCTCTGTGAGGACAGGAAGCTCTGAAAACCAAACATCGCCGTCTAGCCAAGCCAGGCCCAGAGAGTGGGGTCAAGCTGGGCTGACTCACGGGCCCCGCATGTGCTACCATCTGGGCAGGTCCCAATTTCCCTGGCAGAATGGGCACCCCGCTGGCACAATGCAGCCTTGGTCCTTCCCTGCTCCCTGTGCCAGCTGGCACAGTCCTGGTTCAAGGAGGGCTCCAGACATTCGCACTGGCCTGGATTCGCCCGAGCCCACTGGGAGGCAGGGCTGGGACGAGCTCAACCTACCTCCACGGTATAGTTTGGTAACAGTGACCTAAAGAAGAGTGCGATCGTGTTTCCGTGGCTGACGGGACTCAGCCTGAAAGAGAAAGTCAAGAAACGTCGGAAATGACACTGAACTGAGACTCGTGGGACCCAACCCAGCCCACGGGGCTGCCTGCCAGCTGCCTCCTCACAGGGACACGGGGGGCCCCACCAGGGGCAGAGCAGCAGCAGCTGAGCACAGGCCCTGGAGTCCTACAAAGCGGAGATCAGGGCCCTGGGTGGGCAGGAGGCTTCCTTATCCGCTTAGGGTGGAGTCGGGGCCAGCGGGAACAGGATGAGGGAGACCGACGCGGCTAAGGCAGGCACGGGGTCCAGAGCGAGGCTCCCACAGCCACCATCGGCCACCGCACAGGTGCCTTGCTTTTCAGAAAAGCTGTAGTTTCAACGTCTCCTTCAGCACCGAAGCTCTGAGAGCACACACTCCTTATGCAAAGGCAGAAGCGTCCAGGGCCATGTTAAGTGGAGACTCTCCTGGTGCAAAGGGCTCTACAGGACGCTGAGCAGCCCAGGCCTAAGGAGCTCTAGGGAGGGCGAAAGCCTGGGGTCCACGATGCTACCACACCCCGCCGGCAGGAGCGGTCCACGAAGACCACTGTGTGGGCGACGGGGCCTGGGTAAGGCAAGTACTTTCCGGCCCAGAAGGAAAGGTAAAAAGCCTTTCAACGACCCAATCTGAAAGCCAGACATGCCGGCAGCCTGGGCGTCGGCTTGGACCCGCCCCCGGCCCTCCTGCCCCCGCCCTCCTGCCCCGAAGCCCTGCTTTTGTTCTCTCAACGTGCTGTGTGCTCTGCTCCTGCCACAGCGCCTTGGCGCATAGTGACTCTGCTGTGGAACACGTCCCCTGAGCCTGGTGAGAGCACGGTCATCCTCTGCGTCTCGGCACACCCACCCCTCCTTCCTCCAAAGACCTTACTGGAGTGTTTTTTTTTTTTTTTTTGAGATGGAGTCACTTTCTCCAGGCTGAAGTGCGGGGGCGTGATCTCAGCTCACTGCAAGCTCCACCTCCCAGGTTCAAACAATTCTCCTGCCTCAGCCTCCCGAGTAGCTGGGACTACACCTGCCACCAAGCCTGGCTACTTTTTTTGTATTTTAGTAGAGACGGATTTTCATCACGTTGGCCAGGATAGTCTCGATCTCTTGACCTTGTGATTCGCCCACCTTGGCCTCCCAAACTGCTGGAATTACAGGATTACAGGTGTGAGTCACCACACCCGGATGGCT